CGACTTGCTGTGCGCTTCACACAGTTTGAGCGGGTCTCATGGTCAATGCAGGCGACGCCTTTCCCTTCGCCTGCTGCGTGCCGGGAGTACGCGTACACCATTAACCTAACCGTTCTGTACAATTACCTCCGCGATTCTTGGTACCTCTTTGAGCACATCCCCATCTGGTGTATCCCCTTACTTCCAGCTCTCTCGCAGTCCTCATTTCTCTCATTTCTCCGCCTCAAATCACCTCTGCGGCAGTTTGATTTTAGACCATGTGGAGCAACAGCTGATCTGCGCGCAGTTTCTTCTGGACAGGTTGTAGATAATCTCAGTTCATACTGGCTACAGCGCAGCCTAATTCCATTGTTACCAGGCCAGCAGGCCACGTCATCCCCACAAGGTCCTCGAGACATAAAGGAGCCATTTCCCTTGGTTCGGAATGGCATCCTTTCCCCCATTTCTCTCTCCCCCTCCCCCCCCAAATTACCACAACATTCTTCTAGGGACAGTTCCTCCTTGGCCCACAACGTTTCTGTCTGCTACTGGGGATCTTCTCTGTTCTAGCTTGAGTCGCAAATGCTCTGTGGGCTTTGGCTGGAATTTTAGTGGGTACTAAATTCTATTCTTCAAACCACTGGTCTGGAGTTCACCTCCTGTGTGGGTGATCATCAATATCCATTTCCTGCCTGTACATGGTTCTGGCTACCCGTCCTTCAGACTGTTGGCAACTCACGGCTCTGCCGTTACCCTCCAGATTCAATTTTAGGTTGTTTTTACGCCATGACTATGTGAACTCCCGGAAAACCATTTTCGTGCTCGGTTCCTCTGCTTTTTGCTACGCAAATCTTTCATGCATTTGATGTGATGCAAATCATTCTGACTACTATCTATGCTGCTCGTCATTTTTCAAGACAAGACGACCGAACACCTTCCCAGGTTTATTATTCATTCACAATACGTAGGTATTCTCATGTTCAATGTCTCGCAGTGGCACTGTAGTGAAGTATGTCTGTCATATTCTTTGTGCTTTAAAGTTGGTGAATGTCAGTGCATTTGTGTCGGGTTTGGTTCGTTTGTTTTTCATGATCGGTCAATGTGTTGCTATTCGTGACTTTTTTCTTCTTGCATTCTTATTCTAGAGCGAACCGGAGCTCTGCCTTGTCTACATTACAGGAAGCCGCGCATAAGCCACGCACAAGTTATGCTGGCTTATTTTGAAATAAGCCATGGCACATGCCTCCTGTGTTAGGAAGGAGATATGGCACCTATAGTGTGCAAAAATTATTTGCTCACAACTTCAGGTTGAAAACAAGGTTTTCGATTACATCTCTCAGCATAACCACCAGCAAGATCACTGCTTGGATCGTACAACCATCTTGCCAATCAGCTTGCAATCTCTTGGTTTGATAGATTACAGCTTCAAAGGCTCGCTTCTGCGGGATTTAGTCGTGGAAGAGGTTTATGTTTTTTGATTGGATTGATCAGAACAATGATGCTATCATCATGCCGAAATCCACAAACGGAAATCAACTCAATCCTCCGCCTCTGAGTGCCAGCGCACTCCTGAAACAGGACTCTGCATTGAAACAAAGGTTGTGAATCATTTGGTGTAATATTCATGAAAAGAATGAGAATAATATATGTTTACAGTGCTTATACAAGACGGGGTTGAAAATGCGAAATCCATCAGTTTCTTAAGGTAGTTTCAGAATAACCTGATCTTGTAAACAGTTTCAAAGTACATAGAGTACAGCTAGTAGAGTTTTGGGGCGTAAATTCAAGTGTGGGGCAGCGCGCCGCGCTGAGCCGATAGACGAGCCGATCCCAAACAAATGCAATGTTGATGCCGCCAACAGATGTAACCCAAATGAAAGAAGTCAGTCAGCGTGGGAAGTTGTCACCCAAGTTCAGATTGCAGTTGTAAATTGCCAAAAACCCCGGAAAATAACAGTAATTTTTGCACAGTATATCGCCCATGAGGAGACAAACAGGTGCAATCTCATTCGAGGTATCTGCTTAATACATGAGGTATAAAACTCCTGTGACCAAAAACTGCTATCTCGATGTCGCTTTCACACCACCGAAGGAAATATTCTAGGTGACCCTAATAAAATGATAAAACTTCAGATTTTCCCGCGGGCAAACCCCGTGGGAGCTAAATTTAGCTCCCTGAGTGGAAGCGTCCACGAAAGCACCGCGGAAGCAACACTGGAAACGGGGGTAGCCAAAAAAGTCGGCCTCGCGCAAAACACAAGTCGAGCAGTACGCCATGGAAGCATCGTAGAAGCAAAGCACCAGTGGCAGCAAAAAATCTACCTCGCGTGAAACACGAGTCGACCGATACGCGGGCCGGGCGCTAGCGCGTAGCAGTCTTTCTCGCGCGCACTTAGCCTAAGCGCCCAGCTAGGCTAGTGGTCTGCGCGTGGTGATTGGTAGCCTTTCTTTTTTTTTTTTTAGCTGCCTCAAGGCTTCCACGGTGCCTTCCGATGCTGCTTCCAGTGCCGTGCTGCTTCCATTCCGGAAGCTTTGAGCATAGTTTCACGAGGTTGCCGCCAGTGAATTAATTTTCCGCCGATCAATCAACCCCATCAATCCTTATCGATGGGCTTTCAGGCAAAGCGGTGACCGCTTCGTCTCTTCAGAAATTTGAACTCACTAAAAATCCATTTGAGTTAAAAACGGCCGAATGATGAACAAACTCAACACAGGTGCTATACAAAAGTGAAGGCAGGACGATATAGTCAGCAGGAACAGTGGGACAAAAGGTGGAAATAGAAACTACCCTCATTCACACGCGCGAGCTTGTTGGAAGGCTACCAAGACGGCAATCTCGATGCTGGTTTCTGTGGGCCTGAAACCTCCGTCATTTTATTCAAGTGACCTTATGTACCTGAGATCTTTCTATTTGCGGCGTATGTCCACGCTTTGCCCCATCTTCGGCGCTCCATTCAACGTTACCGTAATAGGGCCAGGCATTCAAATATTAATGACTTACTCCGAGCCCCTGTGACCGCGTGCTGCGGAATTGGCGCTACTGCCAAATTATATAGCTCGGATCTTCTTTCAGGCGATGGTCGTCTCCATACCCTATCATTGCCGTACCCTGAGCTTATATCCATGAAATCGTGGGCTTTCCCCCCAGATACCGCTGAAATCACTGACGGTGCGTCCAATATTGAAATGTGTGAATCTTGTAATCAATGTACTGGAGACCAATATGCCGCCGTTGAGGTCATCGACATCTCTGGCTTCCATCTGGCCGATGACGCTCTCCCCTCAACATTTGATCCAAGAAATCAGGCGGACATCGTCAGCAGAGCATTCAGAGCACTGCGCGAAGTCGGCTTTCTCGCAATTAAAGGCCATGGTTTACGCAGCGAGGATTTCCACCACCAGTTTGACCTCGGAAAAATGCTGATAGAGGATGTCGCCGAGGACAATAAGCACGATCTTCACGCCAAAATTTGGGAGGGGTCTTGGGCGGGCTATAAGGTCTGTTGGTGTGCGTGGTGGAATGTCTGAGCTTAACTCTCCTGGACAGCCTACGGGCTACTACAGACGTCCGGATGGTGGGGCCGACACCATTGAAGTTCGTCCTTTCCTCCTTTTCATCTTGCGGACTCTGATCCCATGGAATAGCATTTCGATGCCTACCCATTCACAATGCGGGTTTCTCATCTTCCGGATGTAGGAAAACGTTTCGTGTCGGATTTCCGTTCGTTTATCAAGGCAAGTTGACCTGACAGTTTCCGGCTGCCCCTCATCATGACACCCGCAGTATAATCACTATTTTCTTCTGCGGAGAGTGCTTGCGATTCTATCCCTGGGGATGGGCCTACCCGAAGATGCGTATGTTCGAGTTGAATCATACTTTTGATTAGCAAAATTTGAAGTGCACTTACAGCCTTTGGGATCTACACCATCGAGGCGGCACTTCAGACGATGGGGCACTAGACACTGGCGACAACGATGAAATTGTGTGGAATCACAGCAAGGATCACCTGAGATACGCGATGTATCGTGAGTTTGCTGCAATGTTTCTGGATACCTTCATCTCACCCTTCTCACTCGAGATCCGCCGCCTGAGGAAGATAGAGAGAAGAAGAAGCACCTTTGGATTCCCGGACACACAGATCTGTGCGTTTTGATACAGAACAACTCCAGCCTCCGGCTGACGGTCCTCTACGCCCACCAGTGGCTCAGTGTCTTTCCTTTGTGCGTCATTGGCTGGGAGTCGCTAATGAGTAGCATCGAACCTGTCCACAGATTCCCAGCCGATCGCCGGTCTCCAAGTGCTGTCTCCCGATGGTAAATGGCGCTACATCCGCCACTATCCCGAGCACATAATAGTAAATATTGGAGACTCGCTCGAGTTTCTGACCGGCGGCCTCCTCAAGGCCGTCCCACACCGCGGTATGCCCCGTCATGCGTCCCACGTATTTAAATTAAAATCCACTCGAATCCTAGTGATGGAACCTCCGAGCGACCAGCGCCAGTGTGTACCCAGCTTTATTGAGATCACGGCCCGCTATTGAAATCTGACGACCCAGCCTCGACCGCCTCGGGATATTCTATTTTGTCCCCTTCCTCCCCGAGGTGCCTCTTCGCCCACTCGACAGCCTCATCGCCGGCCATGCAGATGACTTCGAAGTTAAAGACACATTCGAGAAATACCGCAGCCTCGGGGGGCAGCCAACAACACTGACTTCAAACGGTGCGTATCAATCTGTACAAGTCGCGCGCATCTGTGCATTTACTCATTGGGAAGTACTGGATACAGACTGGTTGGTGTTGCGCTCGAAGCTTGTGGGGAGCCCCAGGCCGGCGCGGAGTGGGCGAGAACCAGTCCCGGAGGATGTCCTTTATGATATCCACTTCCGGTACAATGCGTCTTGAATCCTACTGTGGTGGATATTAGTGTACTTGTACTTCTCTCAGACACCAGAATGAATGGGGAACACGAGAAAAGAAAAGACAAGACAAGACAAGAAAAAAAGTCGAAGAACATCAATGGATGGCCCAACCCCGAATCGAACGGGAGTCTCTACGTAACTTTCTCGGCATCTTACAAGCAGTAGAGGCGCACCCATGCGCCACCGAGCCGTTGTGAGAATACACAAGTTACACGATATATGCGACGAAAAATCGTGTGGGACTCTGAGGTAAGATAAGTACACCTGGGCCTTGGCTACAAAACCCGAATCATTGATCTGATTATTACATTCCCCACATTCCCATTATTGGATTCTCATCTGACACAGAGCGCACGGCCTCGAGGTTTCGCATGCAGCATGTGACACGGAAAGAAGAAAAAAGCCATAGTCTCCGCTATCATGGCTCAGCCGGCTCGAACGGGAGTCTCTACACAATTCTATGGTGCTTTCCGCCCAGTGGACGCAGATGCGCAACCATACACCACCGAGCCCACAACAGCATTATATACAGGTACTATGTCTTAGGAAGCCCAAGAGGTTCGACCTAGTACCGGCTCCATAAATATCCCAACTGCACTTTGCGCACCGGGCTGGAGAGCGTCAACTTTTCGATTCGCTCTTGCCCTCTAACCGGGGAACGTATCCACCACCGGCACTTTCCTAATGAAGGTGATTATGAACTGAATGGAAGGACAGGACTCTAGAAACAAACAAAAAATATATATAGTTACGGCGGCGCAAGGCTCAGTCCCGAGTCGAACGGGAGTAGATTCTGAGTTGACCTTGCAACAGCAGTAGATACGCGACCATGCGCCACCGAGCCGATGGGAGGTATCTGAGGCGCAGCACTTGAGATAGAGTTACCTGGGGGTCTGCTAGACGGTATATGTGATTTCTTCCCCCGCCAGAGCGAAGAAGTACTATAAAACATCGACCAAGGAGCGAAACTAGAACGCGGAAGTTCAAAAACTCAAAACACACATCCAACGAGATAGAGATAAAAGACAATTGATTTTACTTCTCCCGCCATCGTACAAGAATAAAAGACTACTCTAAACGGGCTTGTTGGCCTCCTTCTTTGCTTGACCGGCGGTTTCTTGTGCCTTGCCTAGAAACGCGAGTCAGCGGGAGAATGAAGAAACCAGACAGAGGTCGGTGGAAGAGGGCAAGAATGACAGGGCACAAGGGTAGAAGCAGGCGTGATAGGGAAATAGGCAGAAATGAAGCAATATGTAGGGCAATTGGAGAGATTCGCGGATAAAATGAGAGGAGGTAGAATGGACGAAGCGGGGATATGTAGGGAAAGGGACAGGGAAGAGCGGAATTCACCAGAGGCTTCCTTTGTCGAGTCACCCATCACCTGGCCTGCGACCTTGTTTACCATTCCGGCCACTTGGTTGTACAAGCCATCGGCAGCGTCCGCGGTCTGTGCCGTCTTCTTCTCCGCCTCGCCCTGAAGGAATGTCGTCAGCGGCGGGTTCAAAGATGACATGACAAAAGGAATCCCACCTCGGCGTGCTGCTGTTTCCCGTCGTTCTGCATCGACTTCGACCCAACTGCGCCGCCGACCTGCACAGTTGTGAGCTGCACGCAACAATGAGCAAGAAAGTGAACGACACACCATCTCTTTCGCGCTACCCATCATGCTGTTGGTGGCGCCGTTGGTTTGGCTGCAAACGCGGGTCAGTATTGATCAGGAGCGCAAGGGCGGGAGGGCGGGAGACAGTGGAGACGTAGACGGTGCGCATGGGAAGATAAGAGATGTGGGCGCGGAGGGCGGGAGCAGGGTGTGGAGCAGTGACGCGACGAGGAATAGGAAAAGATGCCGCCAACGACGAGTACGAACGTTGATGCGTGACGGCGTAAAGCCGACGAAATGGAAAGGAAGCGCCGCGCCAGGCTAAGGGAAAAGGAATGAAACGGGGCGGACGAGGAGCGGGGTGTGGGACAACGGCGTGCGGGGCAACGATGCGGACGCCAACGACGCGCAGCACAACGTGGGGGACGAGAACAAAGGAAAGAGACGACGCTTACGTAGGTGCAGATGTCATCGTGTAAGGTTACAAGTGGTGGGGTTGGGAAGTGGGTGGTGGATTGAAAGAAAGAGAAGCGGGGGATTCTGGGGAACCCACCCAGAAACGCGCTGGCCTTTATACGTTTGGGGTGTTGGGCCGTATTTGTGCAGAACGTTCAATTTACGAGGCGGGATGACGTCGGTGCGGATGTGATCGAGTTTTGAAAGTTGTGAGTGGCGGTGTTGGCGAGTGAGTTGATGTTGGGCGGGCGTGTGCTGCATCGGGCTGGATGGGAGCGCAGGGATGCGGGCTCGCGTGGAGCGTGTACGAGGGCGCGCTGGAGCCTGGGGACGAAAGGAATCAAGGAGCAAGCGCAGAGCGGCCGCTGGTGGGATCCAGAATTCGGGGTGGAGAAAAGAAGCAGAGGTGAAAAGGAAGGGTGGGCTCGGAGCACAGATGGATGAATTCTGTACCACCATTCCTGCGGGAGGATGGCAAAGGACTTCTGAATCTGAACGCGGTCTGTGTTTTCGACCCCGACGGCCAGCGCTCCTTCCCGTCCATCCAGATTCCAGTCCACCCGTGCCTCCCGAACTTAAATTCACCCTCCCATATGTGCAAGTCCTGACCAGCCTGCGCGTTCCATTGTCGACGTCGAGACTAAAGTGAAAATCAAGACGAAGAGCCTGCATCAGCACGTGCCCGACGCGTTCTTTCTGATGCCAAACACGCGCAAATTGAGCCTTGCACGCGACTTCACGTCATCCCGGTCAAGCTTTACAAAACCTGTCAATCAAGTCCCTGGCTTCACATCGCAAAAAGCTACCAAGACGCGAGAGGGAGCAGAAATCCAAAGAAAAGAATCGCAGAAAAGGTGTAAGGCTCAATCCCGAGTCGAACGGGTGACTCTGCCCAACGCTGCGTGATAACGATTTAGGTATTACAGGTGCGGTCCAACCGCTACCGAGCCGATATCATGCTCGTATTGAAGCTGTACACATAGGACAACGGGTATCAATTCGTTGTGCGTAAATCCATCCACTGATTCAGGACCTAATTAGATTCTGTTGGAAAAAATGCAACGCACTGACGTCGGGAAACTTAATCCCCCAGAATCCGAGCAATGCCCACGTGGAACTTGAGATTTTGTGACCGAAAATCGAAAAAAAAAACCCTATCTATCAAGTGGATCGGACCTCAATCCCTTGGCAGCAGAAGTAACTGGAAGATGTTCGTTGGCCCGAATAAGAAAATAAATCTCACCGTCGAAAGGCTCAATCCCGAGTCAGATGGGCGTCCCTGCTCAACCGCAGATCGATGTTCTCGAAGCGAAGCAGGTGCGGTCTCACCGCTATCGAGCCGATATCAGGCTAGTTTGTATACTGGATACGTGGGTATCAATTTAAATCCACCGACTGACTAATGGCTTGGGACATCCATCTTCTCAACGTCGAAGGAGATAAAACCGATTTATCCAGCCCTAATGGTTCGAGCCGGATTCGAACCGGTGTCGCTGATCACACCCAAACTTTTTTGGGAAGTCAAATAGGTACGGTCCCACCCGTATCAACCTCATTCTGAACCTGCACAAGTGAGTTATTAAATATCACGGCCGTACTCAATTCAACTACTCGTGGAACTCGTTCACCAAAGTTAAACCCTGGAGGAGGAGGTCCAAGAGGAGGATACATTGACCGCCATTTCACCCACATTCAGCATTGAGCCTTACTGACCGCAATTCCGAGCTCCCATATACGGCCAAGAATTTGAGTGAGGACTGCAGGTGAGACATCGGTGAGAAAGGTACAGACAGAGTGACAAAAAAAAAAAACACAAAAACGGGAAAATACAGTGTTATGCCTCCACCCGGAGTCGAGTCGGTGACCTGCCCACAGAAACACTATTCTGTCCATGTAATGCAGGTGCAGTCTCACCCCCATGGAGCGACATCAGCCTACTAGTATTCAGCTTGTATACCTGGGTATCGATTCGGTGTTCTGAGGACCATCGACTCACATATCTGGGAATATAGTAGTGCAGCAATTCCAACATCAACAGCCTGCTGTGAGATGACCCCCACAACTTGAACCGAGAGAAAACATTATCTAGAAATAGGGGAAGGCGCGACCCTGGGTCAAACGACTGCGGTCCCACCGCCATCGAGCCGTGTTACCTTCACTGTTAACCCACCGGCACAAGTAGGTTAAATATTCGAGGTGCAATCAATTTCAACGACCCGTCGAGCCTCCCAGTGTCCACCGAATTAATCTCGAAGTTAGATGCAACATTCAACCTCAAAGATATTCTGGTAAAAGATAAAACCATTGGGCTACTAGGAAAGTTGGCCTACGATATATTCGAGGTCTTCTATAGCGAGCCCATGCTGGAGATTAACCCAGCATTATATACCCCCCAAACATGAACAGCGGAGTTGAGCCTTGGGCCGGCCACTCAGTTGTCTTTTTATTATTCTTCTATTCTTTTTCTTACTTACTCTTTTTCTTTCCTTCTTCGTACCTATTTAAGCATGCGTGCCCAACGGGACTGTTGAGTTGAAAGTGCCGCAATGAATTCTGGCTGCCGGGGAGTTATGGCTCAATCCAAGGAATTGGATGAGCTTCCCACGAGGTTTTACCCGGTAACCTGCCTGCTCTGGTCCGAGCCAGGCCGGGAATATCATGGCGTACCTAGACTTTCCGCCCACCGTTCGGTAGTACGTGTGTTCTATGTATTGATGGGTAACTTTTAGCCTGTATAAGTTACGATTTCATACGTAGTAAACTGGCTGTTCCAATTGTGGGACCGCGTCAGTATAATATATCCTCCTCCTCCTCCAGAGTACCCAACGATGTGGGCTCTGTAATTCCTGTGCGCGTTGCCAACTGATGGTGGTGGAACCCCTTTTTCCAATCAGGTTACTAGTATATTGAGGATTGACGATGTGAAAGGTGGACCGACTCTAAAAAGCTAAAGAAAAAAAGAAATTAGCACTATCAAGTGGCGCAATGATTTTCAGGTAGGTAGGTGCGGTCCCACTGCAATCAACCAAGGTCCGAATCGGGGCAGAAAAGTTCAATGGCACGAGTTTTGCAAGCCTCGATCTAGAGTATCTCTGCACAGTTGGGACATCGTTTTCAAGCAAGTTGTACAGGTGCGGTGCCAGAACTATCGAGCCTTACCATGCGCAATGCTGACCCGGCCCAGTATGCACAATTTCTGGACGATGTTAATTGGCCCAAAGAAAGAAAGGAAAAAGAAATCCAACGCCCTCAAGACTCGACCGTGGTGACTCTGCTCACCTACACAGCTTGTTACATGAGATCAAGCAGGTGTGGCCCACAGTCATCAAGCCGGTATCGGCTTAGTATGTATCGTGTATCCTTACCTGGGTATCAACCTGATGGTGTGCTTGGAAACATCGACCGGCAGATAGCTGGTAATATATCCAGCCAGATCGAACCCAGTAACGTCGGGGAAAATACATAAGAGTAGTGATGACGGCAGATTTGAAGTTTGACAGAAATCAAGTGGATTTCAAAAACGACAAGTAAGGGTCAGAAATCTGAGCTAAGGTGTCCTCTATCGCATACAGTGTACTGAGATGGTACGCGGGAAACTGACATTGTAGAAAGGACACGAGACGGAAATATAAAGTGCTATCACTAAACGTTCATTCGGAAATGCCATGATCAGAGATTTATGAAGAGGGATTTTAGTTGAACTTAAGCAAACAAGTTCTCCGCCTCCTTGATAGCCTCCGTCTTGATGGGCTCGGTGAGCCCATGAATAACGGAGGTGCGAGGCCTAA